TATAGTTGACAAGCCCAAATGCACTACAAGAACCAACCAAATTTAAATATTAAGCCTGGATTTTTCACTACTAAGAGCTTGTATTTATTTAAATTAAATAGTTAAAAGTAAAAGTTTATCTAAATTTAATATAATAAAATAGCTTTAAATAAAAATATTTTTAGTTACCTTTATTCTACAATGTGATTTAATAAATAGTAGATATATTTTGTCTTCTACAATACTTTTAATTTATTTGTTTTTTTTGTAATCTATTTAGCTAAATTTTATTTTAAAAGTTTTGCTAAACAACTTCTACTAAACCATATTTTTGTTATTTTACTTGTAGATTTATAACTTGATTTTTTAATTTTTGGGTTTGGGCTAAAACAAATTGATTTTAGTTCTTCTGAGATATCTAAATAGTAACAAAAAGTGTTATTAAAAAAAAAAACTTTTCAAATATACTGTATATATTTAAAAACAAGTAAATATTTATTTCAAGAATATAACAAAAAAAGACCCTGTTACTTTCTAGACCAGTAAAAATAAGCTCTTCACTAAGTTGTACAAAGAGAATCATAAATATTAAAATAGTTAGCATTGGCTACTACTAACTATAAAAAGAAAAAATATCAAAAAAAATGTATCTACCAAGGCTAAACAGTCAAAAACAACTAAGTAAAACTACTACAAGGTTACTAAGAAAGTCAGCTTACTCAAACATAAAAAATTGGTGATTGCTTATGCACCTCCAAAATTCTTTCTATCAGTAAAAAAAAAAAAAAAAAAAAAAATCGAAATAATCTAAAACATTAATGAAAAAAGTGCTCTAACATAACCAAGAAAATTTTTATAAAGAATTTTATTCTCAAGAGAATAAAATTTTGCTAAAACCTACGTTTACAAGCTTGTAACTTTAAAATAGATCAAACTCTATTTTAAAATTCCTTAACTATATTCTGGACTGCGATTTTTACTTTTGTTTAAAAAATAATTGACACGAACATTTGAAATGTTTCAAGTTCATTTTTATTAATATTGTTGATACAATACTGCAAATAAAAAAAATGCTACTGAAATTGCTAATTAATTTAATATATTTGTTTTAATACTAATACTGTACAATAATGTAATTAAAGCCATTTCTCAGGATATAACTAGTCAGTATTATATTTTTTGGGGGGAAATAGCTTTCTGAAATAGTGCCGTAACTCTGATACAATACTGCAATAGGTGCTAGTAATACTGTTATTGCTAAGTTGCTAATAATTAGTAAATTTTCATGCAAAAAAAAAAAAAAAATTAATACTTTTGTTTTCGGATTTTGTATACAAGTATGAATTAAAGTAGCTATGTTTATTTCAATTAAAAATTTTACAAGATACAGTAAATTTTTTACAGTAATATTCGATAAAATTCGATATAATTGTTCATACAAAATTATTTGCTAAAAGAAAAACAGAAAGTGCTAAATAATATAGCGATAGCAGTATAATTGATAGCAGTACAATTGATAAATGTTACACTAAATTTTTTAAAAATTCACGGTCGAAATTCTAGTTTGTGATCAATCAATGCTCGAAACTCATCGATTCCACTCTCTACATCGGACTCTTCTGAGTTGAGACGAGCTCAATCTCTGCTTTAAAAATATTATCTATCTTGCCTGTATCAAAACTATATGTGGTGCTATATGAAAATTAATTATTAATTAATGTTCTTGTGATCGTGGTTGGCCAATGAAAAAATTCATGTATTTGATATACTGCGCCAAAATATCTGCCAAGTTTAAGTCGGTAAAACCCTTTATAGAATTTTTTTAAAAAAATCTGACCGTTAACTTTGTATAGCTCAGTCCTATGTGTAAAATTTTTTTAAAAAAATTATCTATAAAGTTTTATTGTTTCTCTCCGCAGTATGTCGAAATACATTAATTTTATTGGCCAACCACGATCACGAGAAAATTGAAACGTTCCCGTGATTGCCGAGCATAAGCTTCCTAGACGCAGCATCCACATGATTTATCTTTCTTATCGACACAGCAATTGACATTTCATTTTTATTCTCTATATATCCAATTTCTTAATAGAATTATTAATCGTGTCAACTTTTGCTGTGCCGAAAGAGAACGCCGAAAGGGAGAAAATCATGTGGATGTAGACTGTCTATAAGCTTCCGGCACCATAGTTGACCGAATACCCCAATGATTAAAATGATTAATGTGGTGCATCAATAAAATTTTTTAAACTCGTGGTTTGATTGGTCAACCAACATATGATTCTATGAGCATCGTGTAACATTGAACGGTACGATTATCAATTATTTTGATGATCTTTAATTTTCTAACTTAACAAACATGAGCGTTGACAAGAAGGCACCAAGTGAAGATATTTTAAATGAAAAGGCAAAAATTCTTTCTTTCTTCCTTTCTTTTTTTTTTATAATTAAATAATTTATTTCACAAGATTAATTATTCTATTTTGCTTATCATATATTAGTGGGATTTTTGTATATCAAACTTATTGGTAAAAACGGGCATTGGTCTCAGTGTTGGAATTGTTGCTTCAGCACTTATATTTAAAAGTATGAATTGTCGATTTTATTGGTTATTATGCTCAATGTTTAGTAATAATTAGTTTACAAAGTTTATTTTATTAAAGGGAAGTCTTGGCCTATTGCAATATCAACCGGTTTCGGTATTGGAGTCTCCTACGCGGAATGTCAAAAAACATTCAACCCTACCGCCATACCAGGAGTCAAAATAATTAAAAATTCATCTAAAACTTCAGAATGAGTCACTTATAGTAATAAAGTACTATGAATTTTATATCTAGAAGCTTGTGATCTGTTTTTAAATTTTTGTTATTTATGACATTAGAATTCAACTTGAGAATAAAAAATACAGCTACATTTAAAAAAAAGTCAACCACCCCATGTTCCAAACTAAAGATTTTTGGTTATCAATCCGACTAACCGGGTATAGTTATTTTTGTCTCTCATCGAAAAGATATTTCTATTAGCTGAATTAAAAGCCTACTCTTGATTTATCGCTGTCTATTTTATCGACTGTCGTTCTGGCAGTCAATTTGCTTTATTTAAATGATCGTCGTCTCAATAGGAAATTTCTCTATCTAAAGAATTGCCTCGACAAATAATGTCTAAAGGTTGGGTAGAGGCAGGACGAAAAACACGTTATCTACTTTCTGATTAAATTGAAAACGCTATGTAAATGGGTTACTATAATTGTTAAAATCGAAAATATTATGTAAGTGCGCCGCTATCTACAATAATGCTTCTAATCCTGTAATTGCAAATAAATCAAAAGAAGTACGAGTCACTCTAGTTATAGCGAAATGATCAGTTCCATTAACGAAATTTTTTAAAATTCACTATATAGAAAATTTTATTAGTAATTCATTATATCGAAAGAATTTTATATGGACTGGTTCTGAGTCTAACTTCACTATAACGAGGATGACTTATTAGTCGATTCGAGACAACATGTTGCTACGATACTTTTGATCTATTTAACAAATAATATTAAGCTCTTAAGCTGGAACTATACATGGGTGTCTAAATTGCCCATCTTAATAAAAAAGTAATTACGGCATTTAGGCTGCCGAAATTAATCTTATAT